AGCATGTTTATTATCATGTCTACAATCATTCCCCAAAGTTTTACATTTTTTGGAATTTATTTGATATTTTTAAACAGTGTTTTAAAATCAGCCTCTAAAACCGATTTTTTCTGGAATGTCAGTTTTCGGTCGACCGGTACGGTCGACCGGTCAATTGACCATTCGTCAGTATTTTTCCAGAGAGTCGTCGGTCGACCGGTCCGGTCGACCGAGAGCTCAAATCGGTCGACCGACAGAAATTCCGGTCGACCGACGCTAGTCCAGAAAGTTTGCTTCGTGTTTTTGCTCTCATCGGTCGACCGACGGGATTTTCGGTCGACCGACAATATGACCGTTGGACTTCTAACGGCTATTTCTGAGCTGTTTCTCTGGGGCTGTTTTGTCATTTGTTTTGGGGGTTTTTTTGCTGAGATTTCTAGTGGGTATATATACCCCATCGCTGATGTCTTTTCAGTCAGTTAAGAGAGTTTTAAAATAAGTTTAAGAAAGTTTTAATCAAGGGTTTAAGTTTGTTTAAAGTGTGTTTATAAGCTTTTAAGCATTTGAGTGTTTTGGTTTTGTGAATCACTTCCACAAGAGCTTGAGGAGATCATCTATTGGTGTTTGAGCATCCAACTCTTCTCCTTCCACTCTTGATCTATAGAGAAGTTTTCCTTAAACTCAATTCTAGCTATTTATTGTTTTGATCTTAATTTCCATAAGCTAGATTTATATATTGAGTTTAATTGTTTTATTGATACTCTTTGCTTACACACACAACCATTGAGCTTATTGTATTTTCATACATTGTATAATTTGGGTTGTGGGGTTTGTGTGACATTGAGTGTGAGCCTACATTGTGTTCTCATCTATTGTAGAGAACATAACTGTATTTGTGAGCCTAATTGTGTTGAACACTTTGTAATACACGTGTACACCGAGAGAAGTGTGTGGTGAGAGACGGGGTCGAATCCAAGAGGAGTGGCGTCGGTTGACGTGCCTAGGGAGAGGTTGTAACCGAGCACTTGAGGAGGAGGACACCGGCTAGGACCAACACTTAGTGTGTGAGGTGTGATTACATAGTGATTGTATTGTGAGGTGTAAACGTTGTTCGGGTGAACGTAGAAAACCCGGTTGTGATAGTGGAGATCTCCTCGAGGTGAGGAGCGGGGACGTAGGTCGTGGGGACCGAACCTCGTAAACATATCGTTTTGTTTGTGATTGCATTGGCGTTCTTATTCTTGTTTTCATATCTTATATCGCCTTTGTGTATTGCTCATCATATTACCCTATCACTTGTGTAGATTGTTTATTTTACCCTTGTGTTAGTTTTTAAATGATTAGATTAGCATAAGCCCTAATCCCCCCCCCCCCCCCTCTAGGGTCTAACAGATACTTTGTTTGTTTTTATGGGATTATTGTTCTAACTTGTTGGATGTTGGGAGTACTATTTGTTTTTTTTGTTTTTTTTTTTTTGGTTATTGCTCGAACTCATCGGACGTTTGGAATTATGCATTATGTGACGACAAGGTTCTCTCCCTAATTTTTTACTTTCTATTTGTTCTAATATTTTCCTCTTCTCCCCATTCTACCTAATGTATCTTTCTTGACTGCTTAATGAAAAAAGCAAGTTATCTCGCCTTGTTTTTTTACTTTTAAAAAAATAAATAGAGGGACCTCTATATGAATTTTTTTTCTCAAATGTCTGAAAGCTAAATTTAGCAAATTAGGCCTAGGTATCTCATTCCCATATTTAGGCTGTGGACTTAACGAGCCTGGCACAAACATGAACAACGCACCCACATGCTAGTCTCGGTCAGAATCTTCACCAGGTCATGTTTGTTAGTCTTTACGCGTCGAGTGCTACAGTCATGATATTATTTGTTCTAGATATATCTGACCTGGACACGGAAAATGACCTAATATTGTTCCGTGAAAACAACATTGAAAGACCTTGCGCGTCGAATCATTAGTCACCATAATGAGCTTTTATGTTATTTTTCTATATTAATTAACCTATTTTGTTGAAGAAAATTTCCTCAGTTACACGTCAAATATTCTTGCTATTCTAACTAGAGAGGCGCGACGAGGGAGTTGATATGAAGCGCATCCTTATGCACGTCCATAGAAATTACCAAATATTCAAATTCTTACGGCTAGGATATTTTGAATAGGTTGTAAATAGATAGAGGTCCTCTTACATTCTTGATTGTAGAGATTCTCTATAACTCATCGATCAAAATTTCTTCACCAACGCACTGATATTAATTATTTAAATAATATAAAATACTTTTAATTGTGGGACTCTCTGAGATAATCGAATAGCATTAGCCCACCTAACTAATTAGAGGTATTCTCTAGAATCAAGACCGAAGAGAATCTCGACCCTTTGTAAATAGTATGCAAATGAATTTGGGTCCTTTCACTCGTAATTACACACTTTTCAAAATCCCGAACATTCTTTAGCATCTAGAAGCATTATGACTGATCTTATATATAATTAATCATTTTATATTGATGGCTCACATTCAGACTAAAAGTTTACTTCAAAGAAATATTGTCGTCTAATTAATAAAATAATTATAATGGTACGTTGTGACCCAAAATATCCACTTAAAAGATAGAAAAATTTTGGTTTGATTAAGACCTATCAAATTTTAATGAAATCCGTCATAAAAAAAACACGGGCAACAATCTATGAACAGACAAAGAGTGCAGAAGAATTATATTTTATAATCAGTCTCTTGATTTGTAACTTTGATGTACACAAATTTTTTCATATTTGGTGATGAATAAAAAAATTTCATTGACAAAAAAAAAGAGGGCAGAAGGAAATCAGCCCGAGGCTAGGCCGACGGCGAAAATCATATGAAAATTTGTACTCGTGATCAAATTGCTAGTTTACATTTTATTTTGGTTCGGCCGGTTGATTATTGTGTTTCAAAATTTTAAACACAAGTGTGGATTATGTTAAGGCCTTGATACCCCAATTAGATCAGTTCAAACTAGAGCCATAAATCCTTACACTTCAAATTAAAGAGATCAACGAGTACAGATACTATGATGACTAGCAAAAAGCACAAGCTCAAATTCACATTTATGGGACAATCCTCTGGTCAAATTTTAATGATGTTTAAGATCCTTATCCTTATGAGACTATTTTTCATACTAATCCAATCTTCCACTTGAAATGTGTGAACGGTGGAGTCACGTGGGGGCCCCATACTCACGCTTGTAAGGCCACAAGATCCAACGGACGAAAGATGAGTCCAGCGGATCTTTTGAGAGGGCACACCCACACATGTGAGCATGAGACCAGTGGACAAATCACAAGGCCCAGTTTCGCATAACGGCATCACTAGGCTATAAATACATATTCCTAGGTTTTTTTTCATTCAACGTGCATGGAGAAAATTGCAGAGAGAAAGGCGGCTGTGAAAAGGGGCTTCGTGAAAGGGAAAAACGCGGCTGTCTTTTTGGGTTGCGTGCAACAGGAGAAAACATCGGAAGCTTGGCAGCTGTTTTAGAGTTTGAGCATCATTTTGAGGGAGATATTTGTGTGAGATTTGAGAGCCTGTTCGTGGGTTTAAGTTGTGTGATTGTAAACCCTATTTGTATTATCTCTCTCTCTAATAGTAGATCTCCCCCCTCCTTGCCCCGTGGACGTAGGAAATTTGTCAAACCACGTAAAATTCGTTTGTCTCGGTGTTATCCTACTTTGTTGAGATATTTTGCTTTTAGTTCTTGTTACCTTTGTGAAACGGGAATTTCTATTTTGATCTTACTCTCTTGTTGCGTCGAGGTGCTGCCAAAATTTCTACTGTGCACAACAAAATGTTTGTTCATTTTTAATATATTTATAAAATGTGGTCGGGAAAATAAGTCAATAAATTAGTATTGAAGTCAAACAAAATTACACTCTTATTCAACAAAACAAGTTATTGGAAATAATTTTAAAATGATCAATATTTAAGTGTCAGCGAGGCGTATTTATCATCGTAACTAGACGTCATTATACCTAAAGCCCAATCCAAGATGTATGCACAGAAGTAAAAGTTCAGCAAAAGAAGATTGAAAAAAAAATACTACAGATGGAAAACTAATTTTCAAATAAGCTCAACACTAAATTGGGTTTATCTCGGCCCAAAACATTAAGAGGTTGAAGGACGATAAAGATCTTCCGTTTAGAAATAGAGGCTTTATATATTTAGCCCACTTAGTTAGGGGCTGTTTGGTTGTATGTTTTTATCATGTAAAAGGATGGAAACTGTAAAAAAGTGGGTTCCAATGTCAGCTTTCATCACTTTCAATTGTTTGTTTGTAGTTGTGAAAATAGTGTAAAGTGATTTCATATGCTGATGTGGCTTGTAAAGTGATTTTATAAAAAAAACATGATTTTAGAAGAAAGCTGACATTGAAATCAGGAAAAAATAATAAAAAATAATTCCAACCAATATGATCATTTGCGTAGGGACCACTTTTTACACTTTCCAAACAAACAATTAAAGTTACATTTGCAAACCAAACAAACAATTTATGATTCCAATGGAATAAAAAACAAACAAAGAAAAGTATAAAAATAAAATTAATGAGGTGGACAACAACTTTTCAAGTTGTGTCATAAATACACAACTTTACCAACAACAACCAAACAGCCCCTTAGAGGATGGGGGAGAATTCCGAACTTTAGGAACCCCAATAACTCACTGGTGAACTCCAGTGTTGCATGCAGCATGTTGCACATAAAAGAAGCCACTATATGATACAAATAACTCGTACCAGCTTAGTTCACAAAACTAAACAATCATATGATCATATCCTGATGGCTTGAACCCAGAAATCATATTAGGATCAAATTTCATTCACCGAGAATTAGTAGATTTATGAATGCATTTTTCGTCAAATTCCTGTGATGCCTAAATCTTCGACCACTTCAACAGCAAGCATCCTAAGAGGCTAAGATAAGAGCACATAAAGTGATAAGCTAGACATTCAACTTCCAACACCACAACAAAAACAAGAGAAAGAAACAGAGAGGACACATCATAATAGATCTCCCACAATCATATTCAACATAAGACATACATTAAAGTTCCATAGCAATTGTTTGTGCCATCACAAATTCCACATAAAGACATCCAACCAAAGGCACAACTTATTTTCACAGAGTAGCATAATCACTGGTTCATTGCAGGTAGGTGGCCGCAGCATCACATTCATCCTGCATTTGGACATGGAAAAATAGTAGGTACTAATTCAAGAAATTTGAGGTATCAAAATATGTTCAATGAGATTTTTGTTAAGCGTCTTTGAGGACTTACAGTAGTAGGGAACGATCTTCCACCTCTGGTTCTTTCCTTTCTTGAAAAACTCGTAAAGGTGAATAGGAGTTCCATCCTGAACTCCGCCATGATCCTCATCGCCATGGAAAGCATCAAAGTTCAGGCGAATATTGTTCACCATCCTAATGCAACGGAACATGATCCTCATCGCCATGGAAAGCATCAAAGTTCAGGCGAATATTGTTCACCATCCTAATGCAACGGAAGCCATCGCCCAAGTCCTTGCTCTCGCTCCAAGTTCAGGCGAATATTGTTCACCATCCTAATGCAACGGAAGCCATCGCCCAAGTCCTTGCTCTCGCTCCAAAGGACTGACTCGTCAAGGTAGTCAGGATTATATGGAACCAAGCGAACCTGAAAATAATCATATAAGAAAACAATCAAAGAAATTTGATGGGGAGTTACGCGAGAACAAGTGCGGAAGTGGTGTTAGCATTATCTACCAAGGTTGTTCTCGGGTAAAAGTTTCAGCAACCACAGTTGATTTTAGAAGGTGCGACCAATTTTGAATGACCTAACTTCAATCATAAAATTTACATTTCTAGCTTTTAAGTACTTATTTAGGGAGCTCAGCATCAATTACTCTCCTAATTAATTTGGCTTGCCAAAAGCATTTCTCATTCTCTGTATACTTTGTATTCAGATGACTATCAGAAGTTAGTTGATTATCTACTACATTTTGTTCATCAGGATCAAATCTACAAGTTCAGATTATTCATTCATAGTGAAGAAGAGCCAATCGCATTTGTTATGATACATATCAAGGACGTAGCTTGTTTCACTAAAGAAAAATCAATCTTTTTGGTTGTAGGCTTGTAGCCACTTGGTCCTTTATTTTTGTAGAACTTAAGAGAACTTAAGACATACAAGATGAACTACAAGATAGTGAAGCATTCTAGTTAATAACTGCAGTGTACAGAAATATTTTGATGTGCTATAATGAATTGGGAAACTTACAGGCTGGTGTGCTCCCAAGGAGTGCTTCAGAGCTTGACCAGTGACTTTGTTGATGAGAGCAAAACCTGGAAAACCTTCTTCATCCTTCACAGTGTTACCGTACCTCATGTCTTTGTACCAATGCTACAGGAAAACAAAACAATAAGGTTAAAGCAAGGTTAAAGCGGAAAAAGAATAATAATCACAAGAAACTTGCTGAAAAGAGAGATGTCAGAGAGAAACAAAAAGAAACGAACCATAATCACAAGAAACTTGGTGAGAAGAGAGATGTCAGAGAGAGAAACAAAAAGAAACGAATAATAATCACAAGAAAATTGCTGAAGAGAGAGATGTCAGAGAGAAAAACAAAAAGAAATGGGCAACCCAAAAAACCTAAGTCTATAACGAAGAACATTGGATGAAGCAACTGCAGTAGTAACAATAGTAGTAGTAATAATAATAATAATAATTTCAATAACACATACAGCAACACTAAATTTATTCTCTGGCATAGGGAGAAGAAGTTCAATCACCAATAAACAACTTGTTGCATTAGTTTTGAGCATGATTTCAAAATTCAGTTTTAAGTTAAAAAGATTTAGAACCGGAATTTTCCATTACCTGATACTCATCTCTAGCATTAGCCGGCGCGAGAACAACATCCCCATTCCTAACCGTGAGTGAGTAATCCTCGGCTGCTTTAGTGTATACTCTCACCGTTGGGTTCCTTGTTGGTGGCATATTACCGGCTATTTCATTCCCTTAATAAGAATCAACAACAATAAGCATAAACAAGAAGTCATCAGTTTATACAAATTTCAAGATTATAACTTCACTTACCATAGGGAGCAATCTTCCACCTTTGGTTCTTTCCCTTGAACCACTCGTAGAGGTGCACAGGTGTTCCATCATGAACTCCACCATGGTCCTCATCCCCATGGAAAGCATCAAAGTTCAAGCGAATGTTGTTCACCATTCTTATACAGCGGAAGCCATCACCCAAATCTTTGCTCTCACTCCAAAGAACGGACTCATCGAGGTAGTCAGGATTGTAAGGAACCAACCGAACCTAAACGAGAATGGGCTAAAATTTGAGCATTTCAAATTCAAGTTACTAAAAATAAATAGTGCAAGTAAGCTATATTATCAGCATTACCAAAGATATTCAACAAAAACATGTTTATGTTTGTGTTTTCTTAGACAGGTTACAAGTGCAGAAAGTTTTCACAGAATTTGGAGATATTCCATACACTATGGAGAACAATTGCATTAAGGTTTTCAAGAACAAGATATAAACTATGCAAAATCTAAAGAACAGGGAAGGTGAGGTGATGGACAGTTGTGTTTGTTTTGTGAAGTGCATAAAGAGGATATCGGACCATCTTTTCTTACTTTGACCTTACATCTAGAATATCTATTCACCTCATTAAAGAGTCACGCTTTAGAACATATATAGGTTTGAAAGTGTGAAATGTTTGAGTGGCTTAAATAGATATGCCCAAGGCTCAAGCATAACAAGTGCTAGCACTTTTTGGTAGTGGATTTAACCAAACAACACGTTACACTCAGTAGGTCCCATAGCTTATATCATGCCAACAAGCTCGCGTGCCAAGGGCATGATAAATTGTATCAGAGCAGTTGTCTTCAGCCAGAAGTATAGAGCTAAGTGCTATGTGGGGTAAAGTGCTACACCGTGTGAGCATGATGGGAGCCACATCTAGAGTCCACATTGCCTGGCGATACTGGAATGTGCCAATTGTCATTTCGTGACAAAAACGTCGCATATGTAAGGTGGGGTGATTGTGAGACCCCCTAGTGTATAGTCCCACATCGGGAATGTGTGAAATGTTGGAGTGGCTTAAATAGATAAGCTGAATACTCAAATGTAACAAGTGCTAGCACTTTTTGGTAATGGATTTAGCCAAACAACGCGTTACATTCAGTTGGTCCCACGGCTTATCTTGTGTCAACGGGCTCGCGGGCCCGGGGTGTGACAGGTTTGGCTCATGCATTAACCTCCACCCATCTAGGAAATTCTATCTCACAAAGTGACTATTTTGATATGTTAAAGATCCGTTCATGTTTTACGCTAATTACCATATTTTATTCAGGACAAATCATAACCATATAGTAAATAATAAACTATTCAAAATGAAAAAACAGATTCTCCCATGAAAGGAAATGAAAATGTTAATTCATCACACGTTTAAACAAGAAATCCAATTTTACAACCTATTGGTCATTTAGGACAAGACCAAAAGAGCACCAAAGAGAGACTCAGTAAGCCCTTTTCCCAGGCACTGTAATTAGTAGGCTCCGGCCCCTACTTGTCCTCTAACCTATCAAATAATAAACTATTCTTACTCTCACTTTACCCCTTGAACTATCATTTTCTTCTCTAAATCCATCTAAACACCCACAAAATAATAAATGAAAGGCTCCGGTCCCTACTTGCCTTCTAATTATTTATTTCATTTTTGGTTCTAACCTAAGCTTAATTACTTCCACGCATATCTTACTATTAATCCTGTTTATTATAAGTTGGTTTTAGTATTAGAACTAACAAGTAAAGATTGATTTAAGCTGGACATTTCGGGGTAGCAGGAAATGATTCTCCTTATTTTCCTTTTTTAATGTTTGGTGCATGAGAACGTAATATAAACTTGCCCAGAAAAGGATAATAAACTTGCCCAGAAAAAGATAATATGTAATGGGTGCAAAGTTCTCTCTAGCCATTTGTTAAAATGTAGATGCTTTTACTAATTAATTTTGAGTACAAAGTAACTTACAGGGTTATGTGCTCCAACAGAGTGCTTGATGGCTTGGCCAGTGGCTTTGTTAACCAAAGCAAAGCTAGGAAACCCCTCTTCATCCTTCACAGTTGTGCTGGTCCTCAATTCCTTGATCCAGTGCTAAAATAGTTGAAAAGACAAATTAGAGATCAAACAATCTATTTTAAATAAAACCCAGAGCAAGAGAAGCCGGAAAATTTTTTTACATAATCCAAAGGGATCGGATTTTTCCTTCGAGAGATAACAAAAAAGATATTAGAATTATAAAATCTCCAAAGATAAAACCAAGCCCATGAAAGTAAAGTCCGTTTTTACCCAAAAATTGAATTTTTAAGACTTGAATAATTGGGATTCAATCAATATGCAAAGAGAAGGTAACCCAAATGAGAAAATGTAAAATTTAAACAAAGAAACAATCATAAATAATCTTTATGGAGAGACAATCAGTACCACATCATTTGCATTAATTCGAAATGGGTTTTACACGAAACTTGGACGTTGTACAAGAACTATATTTAATTGGAAAAATAGGGTAAATAACCTTCCTCTCAAACTCATAAAGTATAAATTTCAAAATAAAAAAAAGAAAGGTAAATTAGGACAAAGCCCCTCCTTTTATACACACTATGTTTTCCACCCCTCATCTTCATATATACATGCTTATAAACTTTCTTTATGTTAAATTTTTACAGTTCGACAAAGGCTATCATAATGAACAGTCAAACAAAAGAACTAAAAAAAGTTTGGAGAGTTAAAAGGAGAGAAATTCCAAACCAATAAAAGGGAGAGAAATTAGAAAGAGGTTTTTTTTTTGTTCTTAATTTTTTTTTTTTTTTTT